TCAGAGGGCCCGTTCTTATCCAAAATTGCCAAGTAAACTTCTAGTCTGGAAATATTGCTGAGGAGTGACAGACACTGAAATCCCGGCATGTGTCACTACTTAGTAACCCCAAAACACCAAGCACCTGAAGGGACCATGGAAGAAGTGCCATCCCTTCCCCAGATCAGACTCTGACCAAGTTGACCCAGGTCTATGAATCTGGAAAACCAAAGCTCTAGAGCACTCCAGGGTTGTCTGGTAAGAAATAACATCATTGTTGACCAAAATCTGCTAAGTACTTTTTCCAACTTTAGTCTTTACTGATGTTTTTATTAAATGTTTCAGCTCTCTTGAATTGGACTTGTCTGCTGAAAGTACATGTCATTGGAAAGTTTCAGGTCACAAAAAGCTAAAAATTATGCTCATGTGTTTGCAGTTTTCAAATATGGCATCAGGCAGCTGAAGGAACCCACAGCTGCAGCCTGCATGGGGTTTTTTTCTGTAATGACCAAATAGAAYGGCAAAATTTATAGGAAATAGAAGRCATTCTATGAGAAAGCAAGAATRGACAAGTATGACATGACAGCCTCTCAGCGATGTCTGATTTGGCCTCAGACAAARTGGTTTTGATACACATACTTAAAAGTTTCATTTAACTGTTTACCAATTCTGTAATTTTCAAGTGTACTTTTTCTTATTGTAAGTTATCTTACTTTAGAAATATCAAAACTSTATAAAGGTGTTTGGGGTCTTTTTCAAAAGTGGATTTGTGCTTTCTGCTCTCCAAATCCAACTGGAATGAAAGATCAGTCATGACAGAAGTGTTATCGTATAGTGCAGCTAATGGTGAAGCTGAGGAGTTTGGACAACTAGTACAGTAAAGCTGTCAATTTCATTTTATGAAGAACAAACTAATGGATTATATTATTGTTAGATTGAGGGTTCTTTAATTAAGTCTTTCCTCATTGGAAAGGGGAAGAATTGCCTTACTTTTTAGAGGATTTTCTTCTCTTGAGCAATTTTCATAAAAGTTCTTTTTACAAACAGATTAATKTATCAATATTGTATCAGTACTTCATGTTTCTGTAGCCTTTTCATGATAGACTGTTAGGGCTCAATAAAAGTCTTTGCAGGTGTCCTTTGTTTACTTTGGGTGAGCCAGCTTGAGGAGCAATGGTGCAGTTTCCTCAGGGAAGTGCAGGGTGTCAAAGGGAGAGTAAGGAAATAATGGCTTTAATAATAGTGGCTGAGAGGTGATTAATGGAGTCTGTTGGGAACTCCCCGGTGTTTCCAAGAGGGTGCATGGATAACCTCCATCGGGAACGTGCTGTGTGTAGGCATTTTGGCAGTYTGTAAAACCTGGGGCAAAGCCAGTTACTGTGTTCTCTGGTGATGTAGAGCAGGCCCAGGAGAGCGATGGGAAGGGCTGCCAGGTCAGAACCTCTGGCCTACTTTTCCCTTTGCCCRAGTTTCGCTCTGGGATCGTGCAGATAATGGGTTGAGTCAGGCTGTAGTCGGGTGTTGAGCTGCAGGGTTGGAATGTGCCCATGAGTCCGTGGCAGGCTCGGTGCCGGGTGCTGGGTGGCATTGCCCAGGGTGTGTGCAGGCACAGCTCTGCTGGGGGCTCTGCTTGTCCTCTGGGTGAGCCACCAGGAGCTCAGCTCCTTGTGTCCACCTGGGGGATGTATTTGCTGACTCGGTGCATACGGACGTTTTCAAAATATAGCAAGGAATTCAGTGTGCCAACAAGCTTTGAAATAAAGAATGTAACTGGTTTTATGTAACATTGACTCTTTGGTATATGGAGACGCCATTCAAAAAAACTTATCAAAATCTCTATCTTATAGACTTAAGTAAGTCTTGTAAGACTGACCAAAAATGTCCACAGGAGATGTTTAAACATGGTGTAATCTTTTTTACTTKGCAGAAAGTGAAAGATTCTCAGTGAGGTGATTTTCCCTCAAATGTTTTATACAGAAATTGTTGCTAGCTGTTTGTCTTATTTTAACCTAAGGATTGACAAGTTTCTGTTTCAAGATCATAAGGTCTGTARGCAGTAAGAACAAGGAAGAGCTACGTGCTAAAGAAAACCACACCCTCAGGCAAACGTATTACATGGCTGCAGTCGAAAAACACATGATCCTGTGCTTGCAGTAAAAATCTTCCTTTTGCCCTCAAAGCAATTGTGTGACAGCACCCAGTATTTAGAGGCTCAGATAAATCCAATATCCTCTTTCTCTGTCCCTGAGTCATGCCAAGTCCAAGAACATGTGATTTGAGACAGCTTATGTAGTAAGAGTATGGGGCTTTATTGAGCAACATGGGGGTTTTGTGGTGGAGGATGGGAGATAAAAAACAGCACAGAAAGTGGGGTTTATATGAGAGAGAGAAGTGTGCCTAGGCTATCACAAAGATGTACAGRTAAAAGAGAAGACTAGCTTTACATTTTTTAACTTACCATTAATGATCAAAGAATCTGGAGATTCTGGAAAAGAGAGGAAAGTGGAAAGAAAATACCAGCAGAAGAAGAAGACCCAGCAGTCCACCCGGTAAAGGTGCCTGGCTCCAGCTCAGGTCCCTGGCCAGCCCACATGCCCTGGTGCATGTGCCCTGGGCACCCTGGACTCTGTGGCTCCAACAGCTCTCCCCTTTGGCACACTCCCGGGCCTGAGTCCTGGCTTAAAATAGCAGAGGAACTTTTGGGAAAGGGGTTGGGTGCCCAGGCACTTGTGCCCTGCCCAGCCCAAGGGAACCTTGATTGAGGCTGTACTCCCAGTGCTGTTTTAAAGCAAAAGTAAATAATGTTATATACATCAGTACTCAGACACAAGATTCTGAGCAATAACTCAGTCTCATATTCAAATTCTTTTCCATCTCAAAGTATTCCATCTAAATGATGTCAAGGTGGAAAATAGGAATTTTTCTTTGACAGATTGCTTTGACTTATGAGCAATGAATGAGCATATACAGGAATATGAAGTCCAGAAGTTAGGGGAAATGAAACCTGTTGCTTTCAAATCTTCCCATGGAAATTTCTTCTCTCTGCAAGGTAGCATTGTAATTTTTCTCTCACTGCAACCCAGCATATCCTGCTGACTATGGTTTCTGTGACAGATACTCTTCCATCTGTTGTATCTTTATCTGAAGCAGCTAAACAGGGCATTGTATAGCTTGTACAGCAGAAATCTAGGAGGATTTTCTTTCTCCAGGTTCTTCTCTTGGTATCAAACATATGCAGCTGCCTGTCCCTGAAGACAAGATTYTGAAGTTACTCAAGTCAGCAGGAGTTGTTTTGTTCTGCTGGCCCAGGGCCAGAGTCAGTACACACAATACAGCTTAGTATGTTGCAGTGTTTCTTCAAGCCAGCAGAAAACTATGTTGAATTCCATCTTATAAAGTGATTAATACTGTGTAGTTATATATTAATTATATCTTATTTTAAAACCCAGACTAGACTAATTCTGTGCTCAAATGAAAAAAAAAATATCCCATGTTCCTGTTTGACTTAATCATTTTTGTCTGGCTTATTTATGACCCATCCCAGTGTACACCTTTGTTCTGTTACACTTATTTATTATTGCTGCAGCCACAATCAGGTTATCTCCTTTCTTCTTTCTGATATCTGATTCTCCAGAGTGTTGATCTCTGGCCCTGGGGAACGTCATTTCTAATTCCTGAGTGCAGAACCTGCTGTGATAAGAACAGCTATTGTTTATATACCAAGACTGCAATTCTCTTACCAGTGGAAAAACCTGTGGCGTGGCAGGAATAATCTCTTGCTTCATCTGCCATGGATCACTGTAACTGCAGTAAATCCAGTSTCTTATCAAAGCAAGGAGTGAGAGGGGAGAAAAATTGTGTCGATTTCAGATCAGCAGCATTCATTCACTGTATATTATTTTGTGTTCTGTAACTTCAGGAATGTAGAGTCAGGCTTGGTGATACACAGTTCTCTACAATGCATTGGAAGTGATGGAGAGGGAAACAGAAATTGTCAGCATGAATTTTAGAAATTATAATTTTCTTTTGTATGTAGTTGGTACCTAGCTGGCTTTTTCATCTCCCTGTTCGTCCACCCTACCCAAGGGCACCAGAGCAGGCACACGATGCTTTCTAGAGGGAGAATTTCTCCTGTCTGTCACTGACAGTGTTCAGCCATCAGGAGAGCTCATGGCTGGGCAGAGTGAGTTGTACATTCTCGAAAACTCTCATATCCATTGCGGATTTTGCCAAGGCCTGTCTTAACAAGCACCTAACACACTTGGCATGGAAGTTTCCCCTTTCATTTCCTTGCTTGCTCATTCCTTATTGCTGCTGTTTACAAAACTGTGACAAAATGTTTGATGACTTTCTGAGCGTGTGCTCCACAAACGCTCTGAATCAATCTTTGCAATGGCACGTTACTGAGGTTCAAACTGTTTTCATATAAGTTGACTGTATTACAGTCAATAAATGTGTGTGGTTTTCTCTTATGCTTTGTGTATCCTTTGTGTTATAAAGACCACATCAAGTTATTAGCAAAAGCTTAAATCCTGCACTGAAGAAAATGGCCAATTCATTGCAATATTTATTTTTCTTGTCTAAGGACTTYGGGTATATTTGTGATGCCAGAGCATCAGCATTTTTATCCTGCTTTGAAATCAGTGAACTSTAGCCTGTGTATCTGATCAATAAACTGTTTAAGTCTGTCACTGGCTACATGTATGTCAAACACCTGGCACTGAAACCCCTGATTTCAGCTCCAGTAGCTGTGAATATCATATTAGGTATCAGATGGTATTTGCATAAGTAAAAGCRTTTTTAAATCTCTCATGCTCCTTTACCATGCAGCCCATTTTATTGCTGTTTATAGCTGTTATTTTCTTTAGGCACTGAGGTCCCAAAAGGTTTTATTTATGCAGATGCGAAATGATTTTGTCTTGAGGGTTTGTTTTTATTTCCTTATTTTCAGTWGACAGCACACATCATGTTTTGCTCATTCAGTAATTTTACATCTGATGTGTTTTWCCTTTTCCTTCCAGATGCAGAGGGAAATTGCTTATCCGGGACGAGATGGCCCAAGTGGTTCCCGCCCTGGATCTGCCGCACACCCTCTGCACRCCATGCCCAGCTCTCCACCCTCCACCCCGGTGCCCCACTCCATGCCCCCCTCTCCGTCCAGGATTCCCTATGGCGGGGGCCGGCCCATGGGTGTGCCAGGCAATGCCACCATCCCCAGGGACCGGCTCTCCGGCGTGCCAGCCTCRCGCTCCATATCGCCCAGCCCAAGCGCCATCCTGGAGAGACGGGACGTGAAGCCGGATGAGGACATGAGTAACAAAAACCTGACCCTGGTCCGGAATGAAGGTCTGTACGGTGACCCCTACTTGTTCCACGAGGGGAGGATGAGCGTGGCTGCCCCGCACTCTGGACACCCGCTGGATGTCCCSGATCACATCGTAGCCTACCATCGCAGTGCCATGAGGTCGTCGAGCACTTACTGCAACCCCTCCATGCAGCCTGAAATGCTGGAGCAGACCTTGTACAGACAAAAGTCACGGAAGTACCCGGAGAGCCATTTGCCCACTCTTGGCTCTAAAACACCTCCAGCCTCGCCCCACAGGGTGGCTGACATGAGAATGATTGATATTCACCCTCACCATGGCGCTCACATTCCCTCCCACACCATCCAGCCTGACAGGTCTTCCCCCAGCCGCCAGTCCTTCAAAAAGGAGCCGGGACCGCCTGTGTTTGTGGATGCGAAAGCACGGAGCGCTGTCGGCCTCCCGGGCATGGCCGAGGCAATGCCCTCACCCGTGGACAAGCAGGCCTTTGGCTACGGGTCACCTGCSATGCCCAAGGACAAGGAGACAAGGTAAGGCAGAGCTGGGGATTSATTTATGCAAAGGAGAAACCTTCCTAATCTGCACATCCTTTGTCATTTAAGGCTCAGGGGACAATGTAATGTGTAGGAGGCTGCTGCACCTGGCTGCAGTGTTTATTAGCTGTCTGTCAAGGTAGTTAGTAATTTAGAGGAGATGTGACACCATCCATTATTAATTTGAAAGTATTGTCAACCTATGATGAATCCCTAGTTATTTTCATTTGYGTAAATTTCAGTCATTGGAAAAAAYACAATAAAATAAAATGATTAACTGGGATTTTTTTTTCCAGACAGCCAGATCATGTTACAAGAACAAATGATGTTCTGTTCCTGCTAATAAGGGAATATATTTCACCCCCGTTAAGAATGACACTCTGATATTACAATTTTGGTTCTTTATGGAGTGAAGTTTTTCTCATCTAGCGTTAGGAAATGGGAAGAATTTATCATTACTGTCTTATCTCCTGTAAAACATGAATTTGCATAAAAATAGGACAGTTGTTTACAATAATGTTCCTTGAGGAGAAACTGCTGAGAAAAGCAGTTCTCTGTCCCAGGGAAGAAATTGAAACATGACTGCTGTTCCCRATGACTGTTCTAGCATCACAAGCAGTTGCTGACCTGACTGTTGTTAACTTTTGTGTGATGGCAATGATGACAGTGATGTCTCCTGTCTTTTTAAGGACCATATTTACACAAAGGTCTGTGAAGGCTTCTCCTGCCTTAGACCCTGCCCTGGGAGAGAAAAATCATTACGCTGCCAGGAGGTTGCTGTGTATTTATACGAGCTGTGTTAATCTCTAGCGTATTGTTTGTGCTGTTAACTTTTATAGAGCTCTTTAGGGAAGTGAAGATGAATAGCTGGAAARTGCTGAGCTCACAGAGGCCAAAGGTAACTGCTGACTGCCTTAACCACTGGGAAGATATGGAGCTTCAAACAGACGCCAGGCTTCCCCTCTATTTGAGCAACTTGCTCAGTAATTAGTCGCCTGTTACCAAGCTTTTCCGGAAAATAAAGTGTGTCATGGTGGGGAAAAACTGGAAGAAAATAAAGAAAATCAGCCATCCACAAAAATTGCAGTCTTCTAGCTTGGTGCTTATAACATATTAGTACAAGTTAGGGCATATTGCAATCTGAGGTCATTGAAATCTGATTTTTATGTATTTATTTGGAAGAGAAAGTTGCAGGTATCTGAAATTTCATTTCAAGCCGCCCTTACTACAGCAGGAAATTATTTGAAGGAAATTTGCCAATTTTAATCCATTTACAGATTGAAAATTTTACAGAGTTCATGATAGGGCTCAAAAAAAGGAAGGACACCAAAAACTTCTCAAAACTTTGTGCAATTTTCTGTCTTCCCTCTGGGCATGTCAGCTGTTCACTCAGCCACACGGATATGCACAAGGCTGTGTGTTTGTGAATGGATAAAGAGCAACTACACAGATAGTTCTGCAGCTCCTTAAAAGGGAGTTTTTCACCAAGAGTTTTAGTCCTGGTCCCAGAATATATTAAGAATGAAGAAAACAGCATTTGCATAGTTGCATGTTCAGATAAATACATGACCCTAAAATTCAGCTTGGTGTGTATTAGTCACATGGCACTGAAAGAATCATTTTGAAAGCTGTCTTTATAAGTTGTGGTTTGTTTCAACCTTGAGGAAGTATCACCTTCTAAAAAATAATTGTAAATACCAAATGCAATTCATGCAAATTAGTGTGTTTTCTAACCACTGCAATATTAAGGATTGAGATTTAGTTCTACAAACACAAAATGCTCTAAACCTTAATTTCGCTTTRTAATAATTTCATAAGCTTTGAAAGCAAACACTGTTTAAACTGTACTAAACTAAATGAGGAGTTATCCACATTGAGGTGTTCTTTTTCTGCTTCCGCAGGGGCTGAAATGTTACAAGGTTATTATGGATACCTGTAGGGTGATGTATATAATGGCAGAAAGGTATCCCCTACCTTGTTGTGTAGGACTTTGAGTTTAACCCATAAGCAGCATGGGCTTGCTTCTGTGAGTAAGAATATTTTTAGCATTCGTTCTCTTCCAGGATGGTGAAATGAGGGGTCTGCTGCTCTGTTTTGTATGTGTTACCCACTTGCTGATGCCAGAAGCCTGAAAGCCAGGCCATGGAGAGCAAAGRGGTCAGCTGTCGGTACACAGAGGAGCTCTTAGCCTTGGAGATGCTGAGGAGAGGGGTCTTTTGCATCTATACACTGTAGCAAGAGAAACTCCCCAACCTGATTCATTCAGAGCTGGTTGAGGACCCTGCAGGCACCAAACCCATCATCTCAGCACTGTTGTTCCTTCAGTCCCTAGTGGAGTGTGCTGAGAGCAAAGAAAACATCCCTTGTATCATAACTTCGTGGTAATTACCTTGAAGTAGCACTGTCAGGACAGTGCACGTTTGAGTCAGAGAAAAGATTGAAATGGATAGTGACRATGTCAGAAGGAAAACTGAATCTCTCTTCCCATCTCAATTCTCCTTCAATTTTTCCAGTTCAAGGCTGAACTGAGATATCTCTGTACTTTATCAGAATATTTTGGGTACTTAAAACAGATGTCTCATTGACTGTATCCTGGTTTTGCTGAAGAAAATGGTTCCATTTGGAACATTAACTGCATCAGGTTTGGATGTACAAAAGATGAAAACTGGTATTTCTGAGCTCTTCTTTGGGAGTTTCCCATTTTAGTTTGACACTGTGGAAGCCAGTTTCATCAAGCCTGTTGTTTAAGGCATAGTTGAGGGAGAATTAGTTGCTTCACATAATTCTTTCTTGTATCTGTTTTACCTTGGTTATTTCCAAGCTTACTACTTCTGTGGTATAAAGCATTGAATAAATTAATTCACTAGAAGAGTTCCAAGAGTAAGAAGAACCAAATTCATGGAGATTTAAAAAAATAGAAGATGTTATTATTTTTTGCAGGAAAATATTAGAAGTTATAACAGGTTGCAGCAGTTCACCTTCAAAGGGCCATCATCTCTAAAATCTGAGGTCTGCTGGAAGAATGAGTAAATTTTTGTGAGTGAGCATGAGTTGTTTAAACAGCGAATTTCTGTCATATTTTTGGATGGCTCATTTATGTAGCTTGTGGGACATTTCTGGAAGTTACTATAGGCAAAGCAGATGTTTAAATGTTGATAAATTGGAAAAGAAGCTGTTTATCTGAAAGTGCATTAAACTAAATGCTGTTTAACTTAAAATCTTTGCATTTATGAGACATGTTGCAAAATTCTAGGTTATTTGATAGTGCTAAATACATATGTAATAAATGCTGCTACCCACTAAACAGCAAGACTGTTTAGTATATTAACAGTTTGTTAAATATTCTACATAACTCTTGAATATTTTTCCTCTAAAAGCATTTTAGGAGTTTWCTCTCTTCTGCCTGAATATAAATTTTTTCCTCTTCTTTTTATGCCATTCTAGTGAGAAAAGATGGTAGTTGTTCTGAGCAAAAAATGTGATCACATTACTGGCTCATGGCTTGCAGTTCAACACTAAAGTGTAATGGCTGTGTGTAGTTTATTAGGTATTGTTCCCCCCACAAAACCACTTTATTGTTTGATTTGTTGAAGTATGGATGGACTCTCTATGTATTAAGAAAAATGACTTTACTTTGTAAAGGCATGAACAGTGAGAGGCTCTGTCAGTGCACTGAGAATTGTCTTAGGGGGATTTTGCAAATGCACCCTTTCAGACACTTTCCACAGGGCCAAAGCTGCATATTCCTTTGGGAAAGTTGTTGAATAACCAGGCAGAAAAAGAGGAATGTAAATGTATTTAGCAAATACAGGATGGAGGAAAGTTAAACTGTATTTTGTCTTCCTTCTGTTAGAGGAACTGTTTGTTGGAAGATGACATGCAAGCWGTGGGACAATAGTTGTCAAATAGTGTAACAGCTGGCAGTGCTTCAGAGCTTCTTTTCCCCTTTAGCTCCAAGCTGTAGAAAGTTTGAGTTCARTCTTCTCCTTAGAAGACCGAAATGTTCATCTGTGTGACTCTTTCTGTGGGAAGAATACAGAAGAGTTCTGCTGATCTTTGGTTCCCTCCCTTCTAGGACATGCACTCATCTGTTTTGGGGGAATTTGGGATAAAGTATCATAAGACACCTTCACTTGATTCTAGGAAAGCCATTGGGAAAGACARCCTACTCCTGTTTCCTTTCTTTTCTGAGTGAGATTAAAAAAAAATTTGTAATGAAATGTTTCTATCATATGGTAATATAGAAAGAAATGTGTATTTCTCTGTCTCTAACCCCTTTTCATTGCTTCATTTAGAGCTTAACTATAAAATATTAAGTCACTGAATATTTTTTTCTCTAGGAAGATGTGCCAGTTRTTCATGGTGCAGAGTCAGTGTTTGAGTACATCTGTTGTGGGTGATGTGCTGCACAGTCTGGGGTTGGACAGGAACATGCATTAGCAGTTACACAGACCAGTTTCATTCTTTGTCTGTACCAAGTATCTTCTCAGTGATGTGAATATGAAAGATGTCCCCAGGAAGGGGAAGTAACATGCGAGTAATATGTCACACTTAAATAGCTTTGCTGTGACAAGTGGATACCAATTCAGCAATATTCTCTACTCCTTCTTGGCATCGCTTCCAGTTAACTGCAGTAGAAGGAATAACATGAAACATCAGTGAAGCTCTATGGAAGAAATCTGTTGATCAAATCTGATGTATCACAGTCCCCAGAGAAGCAAGGGCTTGCTCAGGTTCTGCTGGATTTGGGGAGCAGGGTGCTGAGGAGGGGCCCCAGTTCCTGGGCACTCCTGGAACCAGAGCTGTGGGTCAGGCTGCTGGCGAGAAGAGGGCTGGCAAATGGCCTGTCCCTGCCTTCCTGGCCAAGGTCTGTGAGAAGCCAAAGCCAAGTCTGACAGAGTTCTGCTGGGCGTTGCTTCTGACCTTGTCCCCTCCTTTCCTCCCCCTGCCATGCTGCCACCTCTGACTCTCCCAGCATTCACAGGAAAACAATGTGG